GGGGGGAGAATGGGACACCTGGAATACTTTCAACCATAAAGATAAATTTAAAAAAAATAAAAATCAATAAAAACATTAAAATTAGTTGAAAAAGAACCATTTAGCTTTAACTCAAAATTTAGAGTTCTTAACATCAAGAGAATATTTAAATATATTATTTCATATTTTGAATGGATGTTTCTTTACCTTGTTAGCTTAGCTAACATTTATTAAGCATTGTTACATAGCCAAGCACTGTGCTCAGCACTGGGATTAAGAAGTCAGACATGTTCTCTGCATTAGAAGGAAGAGTGTCTTGGTCTAGGAGGTAGTCCTGGAGATGGCTGATTCTGGTATGAAGTAGGAAAAGCAGTTATAAAACATGCTGGGGAATCCTATAGGAGAGGCTCTTTGTGCAAAATGTGTAAGAGAGGTATGTCCAGGTAGACTTCTTTAAGGAGATGACATCTGGGTTGATCCTTGGATGTTTGGTTAGTGGTGACTGTCCCGAGGCGGAGAGCCTTCTAGACAGAAGGAATTGAATGAACAGGTGGGAGAATTGACTGGAAAGAGGGAGGATAGGGGAACTTGATGTTGATGGAAATATTCTGTACCTTGTGTCCTTGGCAGTTATATGAGTATACACAGTTGTCACAAGGAGCTGAACACTTAAAATTTGTATTTTATTTTATGTAAGTTAGACCTCAAAAAAAAATAAAGCCCTGGCAAAAGTTAGAGCTAGAGGAGCAAAAGTGAGAGACATTATCTGTAGGTGGCTGATTGAGACCATGATATTTCTCAGCATCACCTGCCTGAGGTTGGGGACAAGGAGCACAGGGCGTTTGGAGCCTTGACAGAGCAGTGTCTGAGGTCTGAATAGCGGACATGAAAAGAGGAATCTGAAAACAGCTCAGGAGTGGTGGCGAGAAGGTCCAGGACAGTGGGGCAGCCCTGGGAGGAGTGGAGACAGGTGCAGACTGATGGAATGGAGAGGCGTCCGCACTGTTGCCTGAGCCGAAGGAGTGAGGACTTAAACCTGTACAGTGTTTGCCAACAAGCCATTGGTCACCTTTGCTAGAATTACTAGAGAGATGGGAGCAGAGGGAGACTGCAGTGGCTGATGAGAAATGCGAGTAGGGACATCGAAGGTAAGAAGCACAGCAGTTAAGGGCAAGGAGCTGGACTGCGGGGTCCAGGTTCCAGCTCTGCCATGTCCCATGTGACTTCCTTGTACTTGCTCATACGTGTAATCTCTGTATCTACTTTGTTTCTCTCATACATGTAACCTCTGTATCTACTTTATAAGGTTGCTGTGAGGATTATAATTAGTATACGTAAAGCCTGAAGAGAGCCTGAGATACCAAGTCAGTATTTTACACTTAATTTCTAGGATTTGGGCTGAAATGGGATGAGAGGAGTAGCTAGAGATGGATCTAGGTCAGATGAATGGTTTTCCTTCTTTCCTCCCTCCTTCCTTGACAAAAGAGAGGTGGAAGCAGAGAGGGCTGAGGGTGACAGTAGCTGCCAGGTGGAGCCATCAGAGTTCTCTGGGCAGCATCGATGGTGCAGTGGCCTCCGTGGGCTGAGGAGTACGCTGGTGGAGGCAGACTCCAGGTAGAGGAACAGGAGCAGGAGTTGATGGCTGACGCTCTTTGCTTCCCAAAGTGGGTGAGGCTGACTTTAGAGAGAAGAGAGTTTGAGTGGAGCTTGATGGTAGTGCAGAGATTCTTCTGGTTAGGGTGGGACATGAGAGGCAGTCGACCAGGTATAAGTAAAGGGTTGTTGCCAGTGGCTGAGGGTCAAACAGGTTGGATTTTCTCAGGCAGCTCAGCAGAAAAGGCAAATCACAGCCTTGGTCAGAGCATGAGTCATCTGGGTGAGGGAGGCACAGTGACAGGTGCAGGAAGGAGTGTGTTGGTGAGAAAGTGGCTCAGATCTGCCATGGTGCCCACACTGGCTGGAAGGGACACAGCCAGGACCCGATCAGGACACTGACTGGGATATTTTGTGATGAACATTTGGGGAGGTGGTCCAATGGCTGGAGCAGGGCCAGAGTGAAGGTAAGTAGAGTTCCCATTTCTTCAAAGATGGTTGTCATTAAAAAAATACTCTGATCATACATCATCATACTCAACTTTCTACCAGAATATAGCATGTGTTAGAACATGTGCTTTTTACTCTAACCAAGTTATAGCATCAGATTGCATTAATACATTTTCATAGTAAATTTCATAATCTCAGTGTTTTTAATGAATGTTTTATTTGGACTCAGAGTCTTCAGAAGTTTTCTTTTTTTCCCTCTTTTTCTGTCCAGGCCTCTTACCGAGGAGGAAGTTGTTGACCTACGAGAGAGGCGTTATGATGCTATTGCTGAAAAGCAGAGAGACCTTGATATGGAAACTCAAAAGGAGGCAAATAGTCTTTTATATGTTGTTATAAAGGGTCTGTGTGTAGGGGGAAGTTGTGCATAAAAAGCCATTTGGCCTATATTTAAATATATACAGATGAAATTGTTTAAAAATTAAAAACTATTTCAGCCTATTATAATTTGTTTCAGTGTGGTTTAACTTATCAGCAATCATATGCAGCCAAAAATGAAGAGAGTACATTCTCCTAAAAAATATCTTAATTCACAAGTAGGGACTCTGACACACACCTTTGTATTTAAATCCAACTTTAAAAGTTTACTCTGTTTCACAGTAAGTGTGGTGTTTTTTTATTAAAAGTCTTTGTAGCATATTTATTTTTCTTAGTAAGTGAACCAAGTACTTCTAACGGTCGTAAATGTATTTTAATGTATTCACAGAATGCCCTGTACTTACATTAGATAATCTATAATAATATTAGCTTAAAGAAAAAAATTGTGTTGAAACTTGATGCTGAGGTTTTATTTGAAATGCAGTAGATTATCACTAAAGCAGTTTGTATGCTATTATAGGAATGGCAAGAAATTAAATGTGAATAACTTGGCAGTAATACAATTCAGGAGACATGGGGCAATGAGATGTGAACTCTGGAAGTTCATTTAGTTCACTTTGGTACATGGTGAAATGATTGGCCTTATGAGGGCCAAATCCCTTAAACTTGTCAGGGCGATAGGAAGTGGAACCGTTGTTGAGAATTCCGAGAAGCAACTCTGTATTTATGCAAATTATGCTACCAGTTCATAATTTCAGCTTCTAAAGAATTCTGTAATATGATTGACTTCATTTGAGTTATTTTATAAAAAGAGAAATTGAGATGAGACATCACAAAAATTTGAATTCCATTTTGCTTTGAAGAGATCAATTTTTTAATAATTTATTTTTATTTTATAAACAAACATTTTGTTTTTAGAGCAGTTAGACAGGTTCTGATTTTGTTAATCCTTATTGTTTTGTTCATGTACAGTTAGCCTTACAAGAAGAGAAGTTAAGACTAGAAGAAGAAGCTTTATACGCTGCACAGCGTGAAGCAGCCAGGGCAGCAAAGCAGCGAAAGCTCTTGGAGGTGAGGGAGACCCCAACATGTGTTAGGGCTGCTTTCTCCTGGTTTTCTTTGACGGATCTTAGTTGGGACTTTCCTTTCCCCTACAGTCAAGGGCTTTCATTTAATGAATGTATTCATGCCTGTAATTTTAGGAATTTAAGGGCATATTAGTTGAATTTTTAACAGCTAGAAGTAACATCAAATTATATGCTTGATACCGAATGCTGTTTTGCCTTAGATTAGCAGATGGTAACTCTCGTTTATCCCAAAGATCAATTTTAGTTTTCTAAAATTCAGTATTATTTTGGAAAAGTAAATACACTCTTAGAAAGGAACAGGGCAAAATTATCCTTTTTTAGTTTAATTTTGTCAGTTTTTGTTGTTTCTTGAAAAACAAGTCCTTGAGTTGCTGGAATTTATTATACTTCCTAGAATCAGGTAAGCTGTGCAGTTTTGCTCCACAGGGATATTGTATATTTCTCATCTTTATTCTTTGTGTCTTTGGGAGGTTGGGAGTTTGGGTCTTGAGAAATCTCTGGCATGTTATCAGAGAATGCAACAGATTTACCAAGTCATACCATGTGCTAATGGCGTGTGGCATCATCATGCCAAGCATCTTTGGTAGCAGGCATTAATGGGGCCCTGGCTAAGTTTCAGGTACTGTTCTAAGCAGTTCACAAGTTTTACCTTGTTTAGTCCTCAAAATAATCCGAGGACATAGGTAGTATGTTGAGTCTCCGTTTTATAGATGAGGAAACCGAGGGACAGAGAGATTAAGTACCTGGCTTGGGATTCTGCAGCTAATAAATGGCACAGCCAGAGTTCAGGCTCAGCAGTGCTCAGCCAGTGTCCTGCTCAGTATCTTCCAACATATTTTGCCTGTATGAACTCTCTACTGTAACAGAGAAACAGAAACAACATGTCTGTCACAGGCTGTGTGATTTCTGTGTGGCCTATGTCTTTTATCTCTCTCACTCTCGTGTGTGTGTTTCAGCAGAATAATCAGATTACATGGGGAATGTCTGTTTGTTTGTTTTTGTTTTTAGTAAATTCTAAATAGTAGGAAAGTTTAAAAATTAACTCACCTCTACTAAGAAATAAAAATATTCTGGTTATAATGTAGGCAACTTTTTTTTTTTTTTTAATATATCTTTATTGATTTCAGAGAGAGGAAAGGAGCAGGGGAGAGAGAGATAGAAACATCAATGATGAGAGAGTCATTGAAATAGCCCACAACCCGGGCATGTACCCTGACCGGGAATCGAACCCCGATGGCCTGGATCCTAGGTCGATGCTCAACTGCTGAGCCATGCTCGGCTGGGCTAGACAACTTTTTACTGTAATAAATTCTCATCTGCTTGCCTTTTAAAGACTGAAAGCATTACATATGCAGCATCGGGCTTTTCTCTTCCTGGACTGAACATTGAATAGGAACACAAAGCAGTCTTCACTGCTTACACAGCACACACCAAAACAGACAGGTACACAGATACATGCAAGTGCATTGGTCGTCACAACAGCCCTGTGAGGTTGAGGTTGCTGGGAAGTATTACAGCCTCTGTGATTTACAGGTGAAACAGGAAGCGAAGGACATGCTCGGGACACACAGCTAATCACTGTCAGAGCTTCAGCTCTGCCAGGTCTCCTAGGTCCATGCTGCTTCTCTCACCCAGAACAGAATTTCTTGGACTGTTTTAACTAGTCCCTCATCCTTCTGGTTACTGGAAGTTCTTAGGTGTAATAAGAATGTTAAGGATATATCATTTTAAAGTTATTTTTTAAAACACTGATTATTTTGACCACTTGAGGATTATACACTGATAAATTGAGAGAAATTCTACCCATAAATATGAGAATGTAGAAGTAAACAGTGGTGAATTTAAGGAAAAATACTTCAATAGAAAAACTTCCTAAGGTTTGTTTTTTTTTTTTTTTTACAAACTACCAAAAACCACATTTTGGTGTTGCACGAACTGGTCTTAACAACTACACTTGTGCGGCAGTGACTTTGTTCTGCTTCATGTTTCCAAAGCAGGAAAGGCTGGGCACTGTGCATGGATGCCGCCCTTCCAGTAGTGCAGAATGTCAAGGGTGAGTAGCGGACCACACTGAGTGTGTGGTCGAAAGTGTTATCTCCTCTGCTTGTCTGTGTACATACTCATGTTTGCGGGTTCCCCAAAAGATTGTTGCTTCTCAAAGACACTGTCTTGCAAGAATACTGAGAACATTTGCTTTATGTTGAAAAGTGATCACCATTTGTTTAAATTGATTCTATTACAATTTTAAGAGGGGCCACATCTTCTGTGTAGAAATGATGCCCTAACACACTCAATGCCTTTGGATAAACTGTTTATGCCTGGTTGTTTGTGCCTCTCTTAGCCCCTCTCTGCCCTTACAATATGTGTGATCATTTTTGGAAGAGTGTTTTCTACTCATTCAGAGCACCTCCTCCACGCTTCATTATTATAAGTTGTAAGGTGGGACTTAGGCCAAGCTTTGGAGATTTGACATCAGGATTAACCAAATTCTTATTTCCAGTTTACTGCTAACATTAAGAAAAATTAAGACCTATTTTCAATTGGTTATTCTAATGATACAGTAATTATGAGTTTGTGTGGAATAGACCGTCAAGCCAAAATGTCATTAATTTAAATATGTATTATATTACATCTATGAATATATAAAAAAATTACTTTACTTTTATTACAGTTCAGGACCAGAAGACGACTTTGAGTCTTGTTTGAGAAATATAAAGTCACAGTATGAAGTTTTTCGAAGTAGTAGTAAGTCTTTTAAAATATTTGGTGTACATTTTAAGTTTCCTTTGTGCTCATTAAACAAGATGATAATTGGAGATCCTGGCTCTGTGTCTGTGAACTTCCCATCCTTTGATTTCTGTTGCCCAGATAGGTCTGTTAAAGGCCCTTAATTACACAATATCTTCTTTCCTTATTTGTTTGTTTGTTTTATTTTTAAATATATCTTTATTGATTTCAGGGAGAGGGAGAGAGAAACATCAATGACGAGAGAGGACTCATTGATTGACTGCCTCCTGCATGCCCCTGACTAGGGATCGAGCCCTCAACCTGGGCCAAGATCTCCTGGATCCTAGGTCAACGCTCAACTGCTGAGCCAGGCCGGCTGGGCCTCTTTCCTTTTTTAAAAGGAGTTGGGGGGTGGGGGGGAGCAGGGCAAAAAATAGTCTCCGGCCCTTTCTGTGGTTCTATGTGGGAAGTCACGGCCTTCATTTTCAGTTTCTACTCTGACCCCACCTCCCCCGAGGAAAAGAAAGGAAAGGTGGGGAAGCTGTGCAAAATGTACTTATTTTAATTCTTACAGATTGATTCATAAAGTGAAATGGTTTTCTCCATGTTTGAAGAGGGAAAACTCCCAATAATGGAGGCATGGCCGTGGTTTCTCTGCAAAGTACAGGCTGCTTTTCATTTGTTTTCCCATTTTTATCTTTTCATTCGTTTTTGGCCCCGCTTTGTAATAGACTATCATAATACCTAGACTTCATTGTATTTGAAAAGTTTGTTATTCATTTAAATTTGCGTGTTTGCTCTATGGCTAGGTGGCAAAACATAATAAGGAAAGGAGGGGGAGCCCCGTATGTTATTCTGCAAAGGCCACTCTAAAAGTGGGTTCAGTCTTTCTGTGACCTTAAAAGCCATGGCAAAGTTTGGGGAGAGACGATTATTGCAGAATGAACGGTTGTGGTAAAGAGTAAGATGACCACATTTAATCATATGTGGTGTATGTTCTAGGACTCTCATCAGATGCCACAGTTTTGACACCAAATACAGAAAGCAGTTGTGATTTAATGACCAAAACTAAATCTACTAGCGGAAATGATGACAGCACTTCCTTAGATCTAGAGTGGGAAGATGAAGAAGGTATTTTATATTCACATTTTACCTGAAATGTCTAATTTAATCTGTGTTAATTTATAGAAATCAACTTGGTATTTTACTGCAATTTAAACTGAAATGAATGCAAGGCTTTGAAAAATCAGTGTGAAAATTTCTTAGGCTCTTATTGTATTAGTGATTATCATTTGTTAATAAATTGTCTAAAAAAATTGTCTAGAAAGTTGCCTAATTTTTAATGTTTCTTAAGATTTAGAATGTATATGTTAATTTCTCATTTTAAGGATTTTGTCATCTGGCCCATTGATCCTCAGTAAGAAGAATTGGTGCCCGCTAGTGGGCGCCCTAAACCTGGAAGCTAATCACCTTGGTCCGTTATCAATGAGCAGTTTGTTTTCCTGGTGGTACGGAAGCTGTAACACAGACAGGAGTTTGAGTTTTAGCTGCATGTCTTCCTAGCTGCAGTATTTCAGGTAGATTTCTCAGTCTCTCTAAGCTGTGGTCTGTTTTCATAAAAGGGACTAATAAACCTGCTTTAAAGGGTGATTTATTCACTGGTGTATCCTTAATGCCTGGTACATAATAGGCAGTTGATAAATATTTGAACAAGTCAAGGCATGAATGTTGTGAAGATAAAATAAAATTTCTATGAAATATACAGTACAGGGTGTTGCAAATAGAAAGTGCTCAAAATTATAGCTAAAATGTGGATTTCTTTTAAAAAGGCTATTCCACTGAATAAAGCCCAAGACTTCATTTTCACTTTAAAAAATAGAGAATCTAAAAAGGAAGAACCAATTATAGAATGTAGGACTTTAAGAAAAATAATAAGCATTAAATTATGAGGAGTGGACATTAGATATCCTCCAGTCAAAGCCGTTTATCAATAAAGAAACAGATATATATAAGGCACTTTCCCAAAAACTGCATTCACTTAAGTCTTCTCAGCTAAGTAGTGTTTCCCTACTCCTTATTTGGATTCCAGTCAACAGACTTTAAATTTATTTTTATTTTAGCATCTTGTTCAATTTGATTTGAAGCCTTTCAATTATTATTTATTATTATTTTTCTTAAATATGTCTTAATTGATTTCAGAGAGAGGAAGGGAGAGAGAGAGAGAAATATCAGTGATGAGAGAGTCATTGATCAGCTGCCTCTTGCATGCCCCCTGCTGGGGATGGGGCCCGCAACCCCGGGCATGTGCCCTGATGGGGAATCGAACCACAATCTCCTGGATCCTAGGTCGATGCTCAACCGCTGAGCCACACTGTATGCTAATCACATTTGTAGATAACAAGACTTTGAAGGCCATTATTCAAATCATTAACAGAATTATTAACTAGCTAGGTGAGGGCATTGGAAACCTGCCTGCAGGTCCAGCTTCCTTTAGACATAGCGTTATTCAATCAAATACAAATCCACAAAGTTATATGAGCATCAGCTCATACTTTTATCTTGTCTATAGAAATAACTTGCCCTGCTGGGTTGAGTCTTTGTGATTTTTCATGAGTGACAGATAACTGATACAGATTTAAATCTTCTATTACTGTAGGGTTTGATTCTTTAAGGTCAGAAAACAAAATTATTGAGTGTGTCTAGGGGTGTTCTCTTGAAATCCCTTTCCTAGTCCTAGGTTTTTAGTCCTATTACTAGTGTTAACCCTGCACTTACAAATTCAGATCTCTGTCCTCCTTCCCTTCCTTCTGCCAATAAAATGGCATTGTGTTTTTCTCCCAAGAATTTGGAGTCTTTCCATTTACTGGCCAATTTCTTTCTGTTCAGAATTAGATCTAGAGTGGTTTCCCTGGAAAAGACTCTGCTCTGTTGTGGTAGCAGAATAGACGAGGGGCACAGGCGTGGAGCTCTGTGACTGCGGGCAGGTCACTTTCTTCGGTCTGCCCCAGTTTCCCAGCTGTAGAACAGAGCGTGATAGCTGTGTAAGTAATGTACGTGAAGCACATAGAACATTAACGGGAACCTAGTAAGTGCTGGGAAAGTATGTTGTTATCATTGTCCTTAGGCTTACAATTACCTCCGGGAAAGGAAATGATCTTCTGGGTAGGAAAGGACTGACTTGGCAAGTGCATGAATTGGTCCGTATAAGACTAAGAGCTATTGAGGTCCTCCATTCATTCCGTTTGATTTATGGCTCTTCAGACATTTCATCTTATTAGAAGGTCAGTGTTGCATCAGAACTGTCCTTGGGTGAGTAGTAATGTACATTTTTATCTAAGGCACATGCTAGGCCGAGACCCAACAATTACCCATAAAGGCCTCCATTGTACTGCTCTTTAAGTTAACTCACAAATCAAGTCTGAATGTTAAATACAAACTATATTGTTAAACTGGGAAGTCTTTTAACATAACTTTTTCATCTTCACTGAGATTTTTATAACTTTGACCAAATAATAGGAATGAATCGAATGCTTCCAATGAGAGAGCGTTCTAAGACAGAGGAAGACATTCTCCGGGCAGCACTCAAGTGTAGCGGCAAGAAGCCTGGAAGTCATCCTGCGTCAGCCTCTGATGACTCCAACGGGCTGGAGTGGGAGAGCGATTTCGTGAGTGCCGATGTGGATGACAATGGCAACTCCGAGTACTCTGGGTTTGTGAACCCTGTGCTAGAGCCATCTGTTTCAGGGAGGAAGCCGTCTGATGGAGGTCAGCAGAAACAGGAGGGTAAAATTCTGTGACCCTGCTTAGCAGTTATGACCAAATCCTAAAAACCAATGAGAATGTATAAGCTGTGCTGAGCCTCCTCGTAGGGAGGTAGAACCCAGCTGTGAATGCTGAGAGAGGGCACGGGGGCGGGGGCAGTGGGCTATGTCTGACTTGCTTCAGAATTAAGTGCCCTTTCATCACCTGCCTTCTGAAAACAAGTTCATGGTTCTGTCATGTTATCAGTTATCTTTATTTTAACTCCTTTAGCACATTCCTGTTTGCTATTGTGGAGTTTCATTTTTAAAATAAATTTTGTTAGTTTTACTTAAGTATGTTTTCATAAGCTTATTTCAGTAGCTGTCTGACGATGTGAAGGCATTATGTGTGCAGACTCGAGGGAGCACAAGGCCGGAACGCCAGACCCGGATTTAGAACAGTGCTCCCTCTCCAGCATTGCTTATTCCTGCTACTGCTTACAGTTTGTAGCTTAGGAAGCACAATTAGTTTTAGTAAATGACCTTAAAGAAATGCTCAAGTATCATTTCCTTTCTACACTTCTGCATATCCACGTGTGATGCTGTTGATTCAGGCTAAAACTCAGGATATGATGGGGTAAGATGAGCTTTCTGAGTTTGGACACTTAAAGTTGGTAATCAGGAGTAATATTGAAGAAAACAAGTATTCTTAGGTTCTTTACTTCCTTGTACACACACTATAAATATTGACTTTAAGTTAATTGATATATTAAATTTCTAGGTGTCATTTTTAAAAATTTTTATATTTCCAGTGACTGGTCTTAGATTATATTCGCTGCGCATGATTCAGTAAGAAAGGAAGCCGGGAAGGTCACACGGGTATTTCACAGTAGGTACAGTCCTTTCTGGTGGGAAAGGGTCTGTTGACTTTTATTAAGTTTTCCTTTGCCTTGTAACACAAGGTGCGTTAATGGGATAGAACTAATTGTATCAATATATATAACTACTATTTGTGATGTACAATGAACTCTTTTCTCTAAAGTTTAGATATTAATTTAAAAGGTGAAGGATATAAGACACTCCCTAATCGCTTGTCTTGGTTTTGCTGAGGACTGATGTGATTTCAGTAAGCAAACTCTTCATTTTGTCCTTAGTGTTTTGTTCTTTTATTTTTCTTGCAAAATGACAGTGCATGTTCTCAAAAATAGGAAGGTTCTGATGTAAATAGTAACTTAGAGTTCTTGCGGTACTTACAAAAGTCATGGGGTCCTTTCAGTATTTGAGCTGCTGGGCAGTGACATCAGTGGTTCCCTCTTTTTATCTCGTAGAAGTAAATAGGACAATTTAAATACATACACATGAGGCAGTGCTGTTGATTTACATCTGTCTTAACAATTTACGTTGTGGCGCTCATGGGAAATAGTTTAAAGGTAATCTATATTCACACTGCCTGTGTTATGCTTTTTGAAGTTTGTATACATCAGATGTATATTTTTGGTTTGGCATAAGCTACTATTGTAAATTTTTTGGCATTTTGTTCATAAAGAATTTTTTGAAGGAATGGCAACTTGTCAAGGATTGTCAATAAACACATTTTTACATTTAAAAAACAATTTTTTATTTTTGTTTTACTCCACAAACATGCAATAATTCTGACTTCTGATATAATTACTTTATTACATCTGCTATGAAGACAAAAAGGAGTGATTTAGGAAAGCAAGTTGGAACTAAACTTGAAAGTGTTTGTGTCTTAGCTGTTAAGGATATTAACTTTATATGTTCATTAAAAACACTGGAAATAACTGCTTTATTTAGCAAATATCAGAGAATCTACTGTGTCTAATAGGGTGACGGGACATAGCAATGAAAAGACATACCAAGTTTCTGCTCTTTTGTTTACCTTCTGGTGAGAGAGATAGACAATAACAAGTAAACATAAATAGAAAATCACAGATTACAACCAGGAAATATACCGGCTGACAGGACAGAGGGTAGTGAGCCACCAAGTGACTGGTTTTGATAGGACAGGTGAGATGACATTTGAACTGAGACATTATTGAGCAGGAACCAGCAGGTAACAAGGCCTGGTGAAGTGTGTAATAAGCAAAAGGAATAGCAGGTACACGGTGAAGTAGGAGTGAGTTTGGTATGTTCTGAGCAAAAAAAGACCACTGGGACTGAAGCATTGGGGGGAGGTATGATAATATTGTAGTTAGGGGCCAGATCACGTAAGGCCTGTAGGCCATAGTGAAGGGTGAGTTTTACTTGATGTAGGATAGGAAGCCGGTATACAGTGAGCATATTTGCATTTTGGAGAAATTGCTTTAGCTGCTGTGCAGGGGTGGTTGTAAGAGGGCACTCCCCATGGGACATGGTGGGGCTGGGGTGGTAATGGGTGTTGGTATGCAGAGCAGATTAATTTTAGAAGTGGAGCCAACAGGATTTTCTAATGGGTTAGATATGGGGAGAAGGTAAGAGGTGGAATCAGAGATGGCTTAGCCACAGTACCTTGTATCAAACAGCCCCGCCCCACTAGCAGCCATTGTTGCATGTGACCTGAGGATAGTTGATTGGTAGAGGGTAGGCCTCTGACCCAGGCTCACCCTTGTGTGGAGCTGGGATTGGGAGATCAGGTTCTCTTTGGGTAGCTGATCAATCCTGGTGGCCCTGTGTAAGCATGCGGAGTGAGGAGCGAGTGGGGGATGGTACCGGCCAGCACGGGGCAGAGCCAGGGGTGTTTGAATACATGGCTATGGTCTTGGCCGCACTGGCCCTTTCCTCAGAAAGAGTTTCAAGGAAAATGGTTAGAGAATTAAACTTAGATTTTATTATGTGCATGGATGCTTTTAATATTTTGAATTCATGGAATTTAAAAATTTATAGTACATAATCAGTTTTAAATTTGGTAAGAAAACTGAAAAATAATTCTGCAATTAACACAGTGGTTCATTAAAATGTTTAAAATACTGTTTTTGGACACTGAATATAGACAAGAACTTTATTCTTGGGAATAAACACTATAATTCCATAGATAGAAAAATCAAGGTATTATTGCTCCAATAGGCTCCCATATTAAAACCACAATGATGCTCAGACACTACTACAAAACACACATGCTCTTTTCCAGGGCTCTGGTACTAAAGGAACCAGTAACAACTTGCCCACAGCCTTCACCTTGAAAACAAATGGCTGCTGTGAAATAATATGACCAAAAGATGGTTGTTACAAAACAGGACCGAAATAAGTGTAAAAAGAAAATACTATAACCTTATTTGACAATACTCCAAGAATATGTTGTGTATATTAACCCTCATCAGATGTACAACTTAAAATTATTCTCAACACATCCAGGAATGCAACAGGTGACCAAGTCGATGCCTAACACAATTTACAGACTTCAGAATGATAGCACTAGGTCCCAACTTCGACAGCATTAACAGACGACAGTAACATCCTACACTACAAACAACCGGTGCACTGCCTGCGGAATGTCTGCAGAGCTCCCTTCTTCGCGGTTCTCTTGCCCTCTGTGCTAACTATTCATTTTCATCCATTTCTGTGGGAGAAGTGGTTTGGGTGGAATAGGGTGGAATAGTACTGGAGTACTCAGGGAGGGGCCTGTGTGCCGGCCAGTTTTCCTGCACCAGTGGTCTTGGAGACATAATAAATAGAGCCTCAAAAAACTCCAGTGACTCTCCATCTTCCTTCTCTACCAGAAACTGATACTCGCCAAACCTGACCATGCACTTGTAGGGCAGGTCCATTTTATTTAGGTAGCCCAGATCCCTGTTGTCCACCATCAGATTGGTCTTCTTACTCATATTTTTAATTTCAAAAGAGAGAACTGAGCTATTGAACTTTTTAAACAGCTGTAGAGAAAACTGAACTCTGGAAACCTGTTTGTCCTGAAAAGTATAATGACAGATGTTGGAATTTCGGCCAAATTTCACCACTTCGCTGGAGGGGTGTTTCTCTCGGTTACAAAACCTTATTGATTGGAATATTCCACTTTTTATCTGGCCAGGATGGTAAACAGTGACCCGGAGACAAGTCACTGTCTCTTCTGTGTCAGCGTCTTCGAAACTGGACATGACAGCAGCGAACCCCCACCTGCAACAGTAAGAGCAGCATGTTAGTGCACTCCCTACTTCAGGCAACGAGATCCTGATCTAGTATTTTGATGAAAATCTCCTGATGGGTGACTTATTTAGATTTTAAATTAAGAAAACAACACGTAGAATACTTTCAATTATATGTGAAATCATATACCAAGCCCTATGGTGTGTTACCTTTTCCTATTTCTTTATTTTTCATCTCTAGTTTGAATGATAAGACCATGCCTATAATCCGACAACAAAAGAAACACTTGTTGATCATAAAGTGGTTTGTGGGGAGCACAATGAAACCTTAGTTCCCTTCTCATTTAAATAGAGCAACTTGGGCCCAGACAAAATACGACAGCTGTAGTTTAAAAAGAAAATCAGGAATAAAGATCCCCTTTGGTGAATGCCCTCAGATGATGTGCATATAAAAGCTATAGTTTATTAACTTATAATTAGATGTATGTGAATTGTGAAACCTGATTAAAGAAAGAAGTCATAAATAATTGCAACCTTTACCTTTATCGTTTATATTTCTAGTAGGTAAATGGTTAAAAATAATTACTTAAAACATTCTTTTACTCTTTCAATTTTAAAATTTAGACATTTCATAACTTTTTAAAAAATCTCCATGACATAGTTCTAAACATAGTCTGTACTATACTGGAATTATCTGTTTTTGTCAGTGGCTCCTAATGACTGGACAAACGGTCTAACCCCAAGCAGCACAATGAGACTGCTGCTAACCACAACCTCCTCAGCCACTGCGAAGCCCTCCTCCCACCTCACTGCACCACCTCTCACAGAGGAAAGTGTCTAACAGGTTAAGAGAGAGAGTTACTAAAATCCCTGAGAGGTTACTTTGACACAGAAAAGCCATTTTAAAAGAATTGCATGCACATGATTACAAAATTCAAACAGTAAAAAAGGTTTTTTAAAGTATCTTCCTTCCACCCTGTCTTTTTTTTACTCTCCTAGAGTCAGCAGCTGTAAAAGTTGCATTTACCCTTACAAGAATTCTTTGCACAAGCATAGTAGACCTTGTATTTTTCATAATAGTAATGGATGATTTCCCCATATTTACACGTATAAATACTGTACCTCATGCTTTACCAGCAGCATGGAGCCCTCTAATTCAGCGAACTGGGAAACCATACCCACGGCAGTGCCTGCTGCCTGCACTCTCTAAATACTGGGTCAGTAGTCTTAAGTGAGGTTGACGTAACCTGAACGTTTTCTGTTTGCATCTATATTACATGTCAATATCAGAGCTGGTTTTAAAAAAACGCTTTCATCATCTGTGGTTCCTGGTAGTTACTTTTACATACAATTTTTCTTGTTTCAGGGTTATGCTGCTAAAAATCAAACTGTCAACAACAAATGACATAGCTAAGCACATTTCTTTTTTATTCATTTGGAAATATATTTTAATTCTAAATTTACTTAACTGATTCTCTTTGCACATTATTACATCATGTTGCATTACTCCGAGATACATGCTCCGCTATATATAGAAAACGTGAAAGGAACCCTCAAGATCATCGGCCAATTTGTGGTAAAAATTACTGTGAAATCAAAGACAGCAAGAATCCACCCACAATGGTAAAATTGGTTAATCCATCCTAGCCTGATTGGAAGACGCCCTAATTGTTATAACCGGCAGGGAAGGGAGCCCTGGAGGGATGTGTATGAGAACCGGCAGGCGGCCAGCGGGAAACGTGCTGGGAGGGGTGGGCTGCACCTGGGGCGGGGAACA